GGTATTTCCAGGGATGGGTGCTCCTGGGCATAGGTGCTTCCAGGGATGGGTGCTTCCAGGGACAAGGGGTCCCAGAGCCAACCGGAGAGTTTGGTGTTGCTCCTATATCCACATCCTTGCTGCTGCAGGCACAGTGGCACGCCGGTGTGGCACTGGCATCGGCACTGGCTGGCGTCCAGCTCAGGAAACAAGCTGTGCCAACACCAGCCTCTACCAGGAGCAATTCCCTCTGCGGTCGTATTATCCTTGCGGTTTTCCTGTAGCCGCTAAAGGCATTCCAGCTCGGTGGAAAACGGTGGTCAGTGGCGGGACTGTCGCACTGCACGGTGCAGGCAGCGGGGTGCCGGTGGTGCAGGGGCACGGCAGCTGTGGAGCAGGGTGGCATGCATGCCACCAGCGCGCGGGAGCAGCATCATTGCTTGCACACTTATCCGCGGGTGTGCTGGCATGTGGGACATCTCGAGTGCACCCAGCTTGGCCGGAGACTGCCACCAGTTCTGTGCCTGCACAGCACCAAGTGCCACCGGGCCCCCTCCGGCTTGGTACCTGTTGCCCTGCTACCTGCTTGCAAATAATAAAAGATCTGGGTGGATTCCTTCCTGCCAGCTTGCACAAGAGGGATCTCCCAGCTCTCAGCAGCATAACTGAACTTTCTGGACTTTCACAACCCACAAAGCATTTAATTAATCCTCCTAATGATCAGTTCTCCTTTTGTCTCTATAAATCTAACCTGGAAAATGTTTACAGCTCAATAGTGCCACACACAGAGGCCTAGAGAAAATGAGACGGTGCTTTTTATGAGCTCTCCTCTCATTCCCAGTTCCTCCGGCAGCGCAAATAAATCATCAGCCTTTCCCCGCTCCTCGAGAGCTGCTGCTCCCTGAGAGCGGCCAGGACCCAGCAGCCCCACGCTGAGTGATGGCGAAACGAGGGAGGAACAAGCACGGCCGCATCCATGCCAGGTAGAAAGCCTGAGACTCCATTTATTAATAGTCAGAGCTAATTACTGCAGTAGCAGTGGCTCTCTGCAACTCCCAGCAGGGACCGTCAAACACCATGGCCAACAAGGGTATGTCCCTGAGCTTGGGCAGAGGGACCCGTGTCTTCCTCCACACCCAGGCAGAAGGTGCTGTGGGTGGCCAAGGTGTCCTGGGATGTGGAGCCCGGCTGCAACCAGCCCAGTGAGCTCCAGCTCTGCGGTGGAAAGCTGGGTGTGGAGCGGGGGACGGATAAACACTGGCTGAAACGTGCTGATGGGGAGGAGGAGGCTGCATGGGAGGAAGAGCATCTCCTCGCCAGCTGCTCCCACGGCCAAGATGGAAACCGGTGTCTTACGAAAGCCGAAGGGAGGGGTGTCCGGCAGCGCCCAGCCTTTTCCTTGCCCTCGCCTGCCTTTGGCGAAGCTCCCATCCCCGAGCAAGACAAGCACAAGAGAGCAACCTGCATCCTGGGAGAGGGTCGGGGAAGGGGCGGGGGGAATGGAGAAGGCACAAGATCTGCCCAAAGCCATCCAGCAGGCACGAGGTGGAGCCACGAGCGAGCCTCGGGGCTCCTGCCGTCTTGAAAATGTGTGTTCTTTTTGGCAGAAGATGGCCCAAAGGCACGTGCAAAACCTCTGATTTCTTTGGAAGCACTGGCACAGCCCAGCGACTCCATCGTCAGCCTCAGCAAACCATCCTCCCCCTCAAAGAGCCCCTCGCCCTGACCCTCCACCCGCCTTAGAAACAAGCCAGCCTGAACAGGCTCAGGTTATCAGCCGAGGTTTTGCCAGTTTCTGAACAAAGATGGACTTTATGGGGTCCAGAACTCCCTCCCTCCGACACAGCAGGGAGCCTGCCAGCTGAGCCTAACTTCTGTAATTTTGCATCTGTATTTTGCATGAGTGATGCAACAGGATCAGGCCTAAAGCAAACAGGGTTCAGGACACAGGTGCAATTCTCTGTCGCTGCTCAACCAAGTGCAGTGAAGGAATTAGAAGCAGATGTCAAACAAAAAGAGCTTCAAACCCTTCCAAGCCAGTAAGCACACAGATCCCACGAACTTCCTCAGCCTCAAGGCCAGCCCAATTCAGACTTAAATATCTGCCCAAATCAAAACACTCAGAAATTTAGACGGAAAAACCTCGCCTGGGCAGTATCTGCTGCATTTAATCAGATTTACCAGTAAGCGCAGGAGCCCTCCTGTGCTCTCTCCTTTTTTTTTACAACAGGCCACAGATGGGAAATAGCAGCATGGCCTTGAGAACTGAAGGGGGTTTGTACCATGCGACGATGCACAACGCCTTTTCAAGTTCTTTCCAGCTCCTTCACATGAAGCTGGAGCCTTCCCCATCAGCTGCAGTGAAAAAATACAGCATTTCTCTTTGAACCATGTCTGTGCCAAAGCATGCCCTGAACTCTGCATCCGAGGACAGGCGGGAAGGACATCCCAGACCCGTGCACTGTCTGAGCTCAGAGGCACAACCACAGCACGGCTCCGTCGGTCCCCATAGTGGGATCATGAAATAAATGCTCCATTTTAGGCTCACAAGGTGTGAGACCACAAGCAGGCAGGCAAAAATCCTGTGCTGAGTCAGGGCTCTACCAAGTCCCCTACATGTCCCTGCAGGAGAGGGGACTCAGCACCGGCTTGGTCGGGGGGTCCCAATGCCCCCGGGGAGCGAGTGCTGGGATGTTGCTGCTTCCCGCGCCCGGTGGAGGTGGGCAGGGGTGCTCAGGCTGGAAGGTTTGCTAAAGCCTTCCCGGGAGTGATTTGCAGATCCCGGCATTTCTGCTGGGTTACGTCCTCTTGTTGGAGAGGTGACACTCGGTACCTGACCCTCCTTAATTTCTCTACAATGAATAGATGGGGTTTTTGGGAAAAAATGCCTTTTGGGGATGCTGAGGTTGAAAAAAAAAAAACCAAATCCAGGTCACAGTTGACAAAATGTTTGTGCTCAAGAAAAAAAAACATTTTTGAAAAATTCAAACATCCCATTTTCACCTTTTTGAAATGAAATTTTCTCCCTGTTTTTATCTTGAGAGCTACCAACACTTTTAAAAAGACGTTCAAAAGGGTTAAAATATTCTGTCTGACCACCCAAAAGATTTTCTTCCTCGTGTTTTTATTGCACTGAATAAAAAGAAAAACTTTTTTGTTCAAATAAACTTGAAACAATTCCTTCTCCTCCCCCCCTCCCTCCAGTTTTTTGGTTTGGCCAGTGAGTGGAAAAATCAATTATTCGCACTCCTCTAGCCTGATAAAAAGCTTCAGGACTCCACAAAGAGGCTCAAGGGAGTACTTGCGTTGTACAGCAAATAAAACAGTCTCCAAATTTCCCCGGCTCTCAGGCAACCCCTTGTGTCACCCAAGATTTTGTGCCGAGATTGGCGCTTCTGCAGCACCGCAGAGAGCAAAGGAGCCTCGGAGCGAAGGCAGCCGGCGTCCTCCCTGGTGGGATCTCGCCAGCTGCAAATGGCACCCGGAGCCGGGGCTGAGCCCGCTCCTGTCTGAGGGTGACGGTCACCTCGAGGGACAGCACCGAGCGCTCACGGGGGCCGGTGCCCACCGCCCAGCCACACTGCGCTCTCCCCTTGTATGCGACGCCCAGGTAGCCGCATTGCCTATAGGAAACGAGGGTGGGAAGTGTTGCTGGAGATAAATAACGTCATTTTTTTTCAGACAGCAACTCCCCTCTAAGACACGTCACCAAGCATCTTTTTGGTTCGAGCACCTATCCTTTGAAAAGTGACTTTATGTCTAACTGCAGTGGAAGTCTTTTTTTTAAAGCAGACTACAAATTAAAAGTGAATCGATACTAGTTTCTGGAGTCTTATTTACGGCCTCAAGCTGGCTGCTGCATTTGCTGCGGGTCTATAAAAATCTGGTAGAACAGCAGTTGAGGAAGGAGAAATGCCACAGAGGAGAGCTAGAAAACCTGTGACACAGGAATGCAACACACACACCACCAACGCTAATCTGGGTCATTTCCTCCTTGTAAAAGATTTTGAGGAAATGAAGACCAGGAATGCAAAAGGGTGAAGATGGGGATCCCCGTGTTCCACCAAAACAAGCTCATTCCAGGTGAAACCTGGATGGTCTCTCTGCAGGGGCACCCGGGATGGAGCAGGAGCCTTTCCCCGCCAGGAATGTCTGGGACCGGAATGACAGAGCTGCCCGCTAACGAAGCCCATCCCTGGCCTGGCATTCGGGGACACGTTTCTGAGCTCCTTCACTTGAACGTATGAAGTGCATCAGGTCATGAGCTCTGTGTGTGCCAGACCGCCTGGGTGGGCAGAGCCGCTCTCGCAGGGAGCTCCGCATCTCCCCATGGTCACGGGCTGGGGCTGGGTGGGCAGAGGGGCTGCTGGGCTGTATCCTGCCCTCTCCGGACCAGCATATCCCATCAGTTCAGGATCAACTCTGGATGAGTGACCCTGCTCTTCATCACCTCCCTTCACGAGGTTGTCCTTGCCCGTGTCCCGGAAAGCTGTGTTACCCCCCAAAGATGAGCCTTGGCTCGGGTATCCCTTCCCGGAGGGGATGGGGATGGGGAGTCCCGGCCCGCAGACCCAAGGGGAGACCCGGCTCGGCGGTGTTGTGTCGGCACCGGTCCCCGGGCTGGCCCGGAGGGTGGTGGGCTCCAGCCGGCTGCCCGCGGGGCTGCCCCCTGCCCTGGCCCGGGGGGGCTGCCCCCAGCCCGGGGAGGGGGTGTGTGCTCTGTGCTGCACAGGGCCGGGGCCGGGGGCAGAAGCCCCGCAGCAGCCGGAGCAGGAGCTGAGCCCGCAGAGCTCCGATCCGTGAGCCCGGGAGGCCGAGATCGGTCCCGGGGCTCCATCGGCTCCGTCCGCCCGGTCCCGGTGCCGGTCCTGGTGTCGATCCCGGTGCCGGTGTCAATCCCGGTGCCGGTCCCGGTCCTGGTGTCGATGCCGGTGCCGGTGCCGAAACCGGAGT